CCTCCCCCCCCCGCCTTTCGCCTGCTAACGGCACCCCCCAGGACTCCTGCCCCATCCGCCCCCCCCCAGCTCCCTGTCCCCAGACCGCCCCGGGACCCCTGCCCCTGACTGCCCCCCCTGCCCCATCCAACCCCTCCTCTCATTCCTGACTCCCCTCCCCGCCCCGGGACCCCTGCCCCCATTCAGCCACCCCTTCTCCCTGTCCCCTGACCACCCCCGAAACCCCTGCCCCTGACTACCCCCAGTCGCCCCATCCAACCCCTCCTCTCCTTCCTGACTGCCCCCCCCGGACCCCTGCCCCCATTCAACCCCCCTGTTTCCTACCCTCTGACAGCCCTGCCCCCTATCCACACCGCTACCCCCAACCACTGCCCCGAACTCCCCTGCCCTCTATCCAACCCCCCCCCGCTCCCTGCCCCCTTACCGCACTCCCTGAAGCACCAGTGCCTGGCAGCGTTACAGCTGCGCCGCCCAGAGCACCAGGACAGGCAGCCATGCCGTCTGGCTGGAGTCAGCCACGGTGCAGCACAGAGCACCAGGACAGGCAGCCATGCCGTCTGGCTGGAGTCAGCCACGGTGCAGCACAGAGCACCAGGACAGGCAGCCATGCCGTCTGGCTGGAGTCAGCCACGCCACGGCGCAGCCCAGAGCACCAGGACAGGCAGCCATGCCGTCTGGCTGGAGTCAGCCACGCCACGGCGCAGCCCAGAGCACCAGGACAGGCAGCCATGCCGTCTGGCTGGAGTCAGCCACGCCACGGCGCAGCGCAGAGCACCAGGACAGGCAGCCATGCCATCTGGCTGGAGTCAGCCACGCCACAGCGCAGCACAGAGCACCAGGACAGGCAGCCATGCCGTCTGGCTGGAGTCAGCCACGGCGCAGCGCAGAGCACCAGGACAGGCAGCCATGCCGTCTGGCTGGAGTCAGCCACGCCACGGCGCAGCGCAGAGCACCAGGACAGACAGCCATGCCGTCTGGCTGGAGTCAGCCACGCCACGGCACAGCGCAGAGCACCAGGACAGGAAGCCATGCCGTCTGGCTGGAGTCAGCCACAGCGAGGCACAGAGTACCAGGACAGGCAGCCATGCCGTCTGGCTGGAGTCAGCCACGCCACGGCGCAGCGCAGAGCACCAGGACAGGCAGCCATGCCGTCTGGCTGGAGTCAGCCACGCCACGGCGCAGCGCAGAGCACCAGGACAGGCAGCCATGCCGTCTGGCTGGAGTCAGCCACGCCACGGCGCAGCGCAGAGCACCAGGACAGGCAGCCATGCCGTCTGGCTGGAGTCAGCCACGCCACGGCGCAGCGCAGAGCACCAGGACAGGCAGCCATGCCGTCTGGCTGGAGTCAGCCACGCCACGGCGCAGCGCAGAGCACCAGGACAGGAAGCCATGCCGTCTGGCTGGAGTCAGCCACGCCACGCCACGCAGGCAGCCACCTCTGCCCAGAGCACCAGGACAGGCAGCCATGCCGTCTGGCTGGAGTCAGCCACGCCACGGCGCAGCCCAGAGCACCAGGACAGGCAGCCATGCCGTCTGGCTGGAGTCAGCCACGCCACGGCGCAGCGCAGAGCACCAGGACAGGCAGCCATGCCGTCTGGCTGGAGTCAGCCACGCCACGGCGCAGCGCAGAGCACCGGGACAGGCAGCCATGCCGTCTGGCTGGAGTCAGCCACGGCGCAGCGCAGAGCACCGGGACAGGCAGCCATGCCTTCTGGCTGGAGTCAGCCACGCCACGGCGCAGCCCAGAGCACCGGGACAGGCAGCCATGCCGTCTGGCTGGAGTCAGCCACGCCACGGCGCAGCCCAGAGCACCGGGACAGGCAGCCATGCCGTCTGGCTGGAGTCAGCCACGCCACGGCGCAGCCCAGAGCACCGGGACAGGCAGCCATGCCGTCTGGCTGGAGTCAGCCACGGCGCAGCACAGAGCACCGGGACAGGCAGCCATGCCGTCTGGCTGGAGTCAGCCGCGGCGCAGCACAGAGCACCGGGACAGGCAGCCATGCCGTCTGGCTGGAGTCAGCCACGCCACGGCGCAGCCCAGAGCACCAGGACAGGCCACGGCTCTGCAGCTGCGCTGCCGCCCGGAGCATTGCGCCAGCAGCACAGTGAGCTGAGGCTGCAGGGGAGGGGGAGCAGCAGGGGAGGGGTTGGGGGCTAGCCTCCCGGGCCAGGAACTCAGGGGCCTGGCAGGAGGGTCCCACGGGCCATAGTTTGCCCACCCCGATCTAAAACCTCTCAGAACGATGTGAACTACCTAAGTGTATTGCCTTTTTATGCAGTAGTCTTAGCTGAATAACAAACCTTACATTGCTCAAATGCTGAGAAATGACCTGTGGTAGAGTTTACTTGAAGACTTTAGTAGTATAAAGACTCTGGAATTGTGAAATAACTTTCTCTAATGACAGGTTTCAGAGTAGCAGCCGTGTCAGTCTGTATTCGCAAAAAGAAAAGGAGTACTTGTGGCACCTTAGAGACTAACACATTTATTTGAGCATAAGCTTTCGTGAGCTACAGCTCACTTCATTGGATGCTTATGCTCAAATAAATTGGTTAGTCTCTAAGGTGCCACAAGTCCTCCTTTTCTTTCTCTAATGATCAGTGCTTTAAGAAAATTGCAGGCCATAATTTTGTTGAAGAAACTGCAACTTTTTATAGTTGCTGTAAATTTGACTGGCATTGTGGCCCAGTGCACCAGGTCACAAAGCCACTCACTCAGATTTGGCCTGTTTGCCCTCCATCATGTTTGCCTTCCAGCGCCAGGTAGGGGACACAGTGTTCTGTTCTGCTTTACTGCCGTGGAAGGGAGGCTGTATGGCTTAGTGCGCACCAGAGCTGGTGCTCCTTCTGGGGTTCCCTGGGGGAGAGGGGGCGTGTCTTCATTCCTTGTCAGGAAACAGGTAAAGAGGAAGCCTGAGACTTAACCCTCATGGGAGTGTTGTCTTGTGAGTGTCTCCATGCTGATGTTTCACTGCACTAAAACCACAACTTAAAAGTTTCTGCAACAGGTGAACCAAAAATCATGACTCTTATAACCTTAATAATGACTTTCCCCTTATTTTGTAACCTAGTTAGGGATAGATTATCTCTTAGTTTGTCCACTGAGACTTCAGTAAGGCTCATACATTGTTGTGCTTACAGAATTTTTTGGAAATAAATTACCTGTACAACCAAATTGGGATACTGTTTACTTTAATGTTTGGGTAGTACCATATGTTAGGATATAGATATTCAGGCCTGTCTGTAAAGGCCTATACTCTAAGAATTTAGGTGTATTCTTATCACTTAGCTAGTTATGGAGGTATAAAAGAGAGAATCAAAATCACTGTCTGCCAGCGTAAGGTCCTTCTCTTACTGTGACAGTCTGAGTTCCTGTTCTTAGGTTAAGGCCTTTGGCTAAGCAACAGAGGCAGCCATAAGCTGGGAAGCGAATGGTCAGATCCTCACATTCCAAACTAGTCACATTGAAATTGCTGTTGGTGCTATTGGGCTGTTAGGAATACAATCCTGTCCCGATAATGTCTATCGCCTCCAGAGAAAGGGAAGTGCCTAGAAGATGTAAAAGGAAGCTTAGTTTGATAGCATCCTGTCTGGCAAAAACTCACTTATCAATAGCTGAGATGTGAAATCCTCATTTCTGTGTTTGTTCTATCACTGGTTTCAGAGTAACAGCCGTATTAGTCTGTATTCGCAAAAAGAAAAGGAGTACTTGTGGCACCTTAGAGACTAACCAATTTATTTGAGCGTGAGCTTTCGTGAGCTACAGCTGAAGTGATGAAGTGAGCTGTAGCTCACGAAAGCTCATGTTCTATCACTGTAGTCCCCATTTCCCCATTGTTTGTATAATCTCTGTCTGGTTCTGTGATTGTTTCTGTCTGCTGTATAATTAATTTTCCTGGGTGTAAAGTAATTAAGGTGGTGGGATATAATGGGTTAAATAATCATGTTACAATATGTTCGGATTGGTTAGTTAAATTTCAGTAAAATGATTGGTTAAGGTATCGCTAAGCCCAACTCAAGTTTTACTATATAGTCTGCAAAAAGAAAAGGAGTACTAGTGGCACCTTAGAGACTAACCAATTTATTTGAGCATAAGCTTTCGTGAGCTACAGCTCACTTCATCGGATGCATTCAGTGGAAAATACAGTGAGGAGATTTAGATGCACACAGAACGTGAAAAAATGGGTGTTATCATACACACTGTAAGGAGAGTGATCACTTAAGATGACAGGTTTCAGAGTAACAGCCAGCTATTACCAGCAAGGGGGGAGGAAGGGGAGAGGAAAACGTTTTGTAATGATAATCAAGGTGGGCCATTTCCAGCTGTTAACAGGAACATCCGAGGAGCAGTGGGGGGTGGGAAATAAACATGGGGAAATAGTTTTATCCCCTCCCCCACCCCTCTCACTGCATCCGATGAAGTGAGCTGTAGCTCACGAAAGCTTATGCTCAAATAAATTGGTTAGTCTCTAAGGTGCCACAAGTACTCCTTTTCTTTTTGAGACTATAGAGACTTAACCTGGTTTAACTGTATCCAGTCATCTTCCCATTTCTACTCCTTGCAAACTGCATGAGTGCAGATCTCTCTTCAGATCAACCTGTATTTCTAAACCTACAAAATAAAATGAGTTTTGACTAGCATGGCTTAGTGAAGTAGAAGCTTTTCTATTCATTATTTAAATCCAGTCTTGTCACTGACTCCACATAGGCAGCTGCCTGGACTCAGATGGAGCCCTATTAACAGGAGCTTAGGGGTGCTCCTGCATGGAGTTTGTTGTAGGCTTGGACTCCAAATGAGACTTTTGTTGTTCTTTGTGAGGAATTGCCTCTTTCAAAGTATATTAATAAACTCTAAGGAAATGACTCCTGTGTTTGTGCTATTTCTCATCCCTTTTATCCACTTGTATATTCTTGGATTTTTGCAAGTCACTTCTTAGACATACTTTAGAATAATTTTTATCATACTCCAAGATCAAAGAAACATTATTGTTCTTTTTCTGCAGAAAGCCAGCCAGAAGAAAAATCTGAGAACAGCAATGCTGGTAAGTGTTGGACTCGACTGCCTGGTACACTTGAGAAATGCTTTGCATCTAATAAAGAAATCCTCGTTTTCAGTTTTTCTATTTTACTTTTAGTTTTAGTGTGCTAATTTCTTAAAGGTTTGTTCAGGGTGACTAGATAGAGAAACACATAAAATTGAAAAATTACTTAAATTGATTGCTATGATCAGAGACTTAAATTATTCATAGATTTTATAAGAAATGTAAAGTTACTAGGAAAGGAAGAATAGTAAATCCTTAATGTTTCTTAGAATCTTTTTTTAAATGTTTGGATTCAATATTTCTGTTTTTGGGTTTTTATTTATTTATTTTATTTTGTGGTCTCATGTTTGATTATTTTTAGTTTATGTTCTGACTTTTTGATGGGAAAGTATTTTTATTCTGTCTGATTCCCAAAACGTGGTATTTGTGTTTAACCCCTACAGAGTAAGAAATCAAAAAAGGTCATTCGATTCTGCATACTTACCTGTTGTGCACAGGATATAATTGTCAAGAAAGGAAAAAATAATACTTGGATCAGTAGTAAGGCGGTTGTTTCAAAAGTGGCTTATCAAATAGGGTTAAAGATGACGGTGATATTTAAATCAGTTCAAATTGATGGAGCACACATCAATGATCTTTAGTTCAGAGAGCCACTGGGATAGGAAGTTTAGCACAAGAAATATCTATCAGTTAATGTACAACATGAACACTAATAAAATAAAATCTGCACATACACATTTTGAGAAGGTGGGATCCATTGTCTCTTTCAAATTGTGTGTCAAAGCAAGCATTTTAAAGAATTATTTTGTATAATAACCATCTGTGTATATTAAGATTTCTTTTCTAATCATGGGAAAACTACATTTTCAAATGATGAACTGTAGTTGCTACAATAAAGAATGTAATAAGTATAGAAATAGTCTTTTGTGCTCTTACTGAAAGGTAGAGTAGTATGGTATAAAGGAAGTCACACATACATTTGGACAACCTCTGATTAGTCACAGAAAATCAGATACGGCTTGCCTAGAAACAAACTGTTCTAATGATTTTACTAAGGTCAGCAACATGTTTATATATTATTACGTTGCTGGAGTTTCGAAATGAGCACACGAGAGCATGACAGGGTTAAGTGTTACTTATGAAAAGGTCCAATTCCTCTTTTTTGAAATGAAAAGCTTTTGTTTGATGAAGAACAAAAATATCATTAAAATGCAGAAGCAAATAAGGGCCAATACTAAGCAAGAACTTGGGGAATGGGGATATTAGACACAGCTAGCATAAAATTTGGAGAGAAATGTAAGTCTTCTCAGAACATGGGTTACCATTTACATGTACAAATAAAGTACAGTAAGGGCTATGATGACACTCAGTAAATGGTAACGAAAGGGATTTTAGATTTAGATGGCTTGCAAAGACTGGCTTCTTCCTTTTCTTCCCTCAAAACAATCCTTAAACACATGTCCAATATTAACTGTTTCAGAATGACTCACCAGAATATTATTTTTCATCCACCTCCATATAAATCTTTTAATGTTCCAATATTTTGACTTTTATTTGAATCACATCTTAGCTTTAAAGGTTGTTGAAAGAGCATACCATTTAGTTCTGGGTTCTGGGAATAATTATTTCTGAGAGGGGATAGATTTCCAGTACTGAGCTGATTGAGATGCTTTCTGATAAAATGGACTAACCATGTCAAAGGGATCATGATGAGTACTTAGAAATGTTTGAGTTGGGAATGCATTTGTACAATTCCATAGTGTGTTTATAGTTGGGAATGTTGCATGATTATTTGTTAAAATCTATTCATTCCGATTACTGTTTTACTCTTTTCAGAGTAACAGCCGTGTTAGTCTGTATTCGCAAAAAGAAAAGGAGTACTTGTGGCACCTTAGAGACTAACCAATTTATTTGAGCATGAGCTTTCGTGAGCTACAGCTCACTTTATCGGTACCATTTATGTTGTATTCTTTTAACATTATTGGAGATTTTTTTTCTTTTTTTTAAAAAATTGGACTGCAGTAGAACTGTCACACTCCATTTCTCTTCCGGGGAATTATTAAATTATTACCTCTCCCACCGTAGGCACTCTACGTGGCCTACCCCTATTGACCACATGCTTACATAGATTCATAGATATTAAGGTCAGAAGGGACTATTATGATCATCTAGTCTGACCTCCTGCACAACACAGGCCACAAAATCTCACCCACCCACTCCTGTGAAAAACCTCTCACCTATGACTGAGCTATTGAAGTCCTCAAATCGTGGTTTAAAGACTTCAGGGAGCAGAGAATCCTCCAGCAAGTGACCCGTTCCCCATGCTACAGAGGAAGGCGAAAAACCTCCAGGGCCTCTTCCAATCTGTCCTTGAGGAAAATTCCTTCCCGACCCCAAATATGACTGTCAGCTAAACCCTGAGCATATGGGCAAGATTCACCAGCCAGATACCTAGGAAAGAATTCTCTATAGTAACTCAGATCCCACCCCATGTAATGAAGTAAATAAGTGCAGTAGTTTGGGATTTTGTTGTGCCACATTATTATCTGTATTGCAGTAGTGCTTACAGACTTCTATCAGGCATTGGAGCCCCATTATACAGGCACTTGTGTACACATAATGAAAAGATGATCCCTAACTGAAGAATTTAGAATCTAAAAAACTAGAGAAAGGGGATGGATACTAACAAATTGATGGATGTTTACAGAAAAAAATCTTGGCAGTCACATTTATCTTATTTGGTTAACACTTCTACATACAACATACAGTACAACTATACATACAAAACGATGGGGCCTAAATTAGCTGTTAACATTCAAGGAAGAGATCTTGGAGTTGTGGGTAGTTCTCTCAAAACCTCTGCTCAGTGTGCAGAGGCAGTCAAAAAAAAAACCCTAGGTGTTAGGAACTAATAGGAAAGGGATAGGTAATAAGACAGAAAATACCAGAATGCCACAATATAAATCCATAATGTATCCACACCTTGAATGCTGCGTGCAGTTATGATCACCCCATCTCAGAAAAAGATACGTTAAAATTGGAAAAGGTACAGAGAAGGGCAACAAAATTTATTAGGGATATGGAACAGCTTCCTATGAAGAGAGATTAAAAAGATTGGAACTGTTCAGATGGGAAAAGAGATGACGAAGGTCTGTAAAATCATGAATGGTGTCGAGAAAGTGAATAGGGAAGTGTTTTACCCTTCACATAACACAAGAATCAGGGGTCAGCTGATGATATCAGTAGTCAGCAGGTTTAAAACAAACAAAAAAGTACTACTTCACACAGTGCACAGTCATCCTGTGGAACTTGTTGCCAGGAGATGTTGTGAAGGCCAAAAGTATGAATGGGTTCAGAAAAGAATTAGATAAAAATATGTCCATCAATGGTTATTAGCCAAGATGCTCTGGGTGTCCCTAAACTTCTGACTGCCAGAAGCTGGGACTGGATGACGGGGGGTGGATCACTTGATAAATTGCCCTTTTCTGTTCATTCTCTCTGAAGCATCTGGCACCAGTCGCTGTTGGAAGACAGAATATTGGCTAGGTCAGGGGTGGCCCCTCACTCTCTCCCCCTCCCCACTAGAGCCTCCTGCGCACTGTGTAACAGCTGATCGTGGCGGGCGGGAGGCGTGGGGAGGAATGGGAGGCACTGATAGGTGGGGCTGCTGGCGGGCAGGAGTCACTGCAGGTTGGAGTGGGGGGAGCTGATGCGGGGCTGCTGACATATTAGTGTGGCTCTTTGGCAATGTACGTTGGTAAATTCTGTCTCCTTCTCAGACTGAGGTTGGCCGCCCCTGGGCTAGATGGACCGTTGGTCTGACTCAGTATGGCCATTCTTATGTTCTTATATTCTTCTCTTCCAGAAAAGTCATGAATCTAACATGACATTTGCAAACTACCTTTGAATCATTCTGCTTGTGTATAGCATCTCTCTTCACCCTTCCCTTTGTCTGCCATGTCTGTCAGTTTACGCTAAGCAGTTTTGAGATAAGGATGATTTCTTATATATGCTTGTACAGTGGTTAGCGCCACCCTTCTTTTATTGATCTAGACTAGCAGTCTAGATACAGGCTTCAACAGAACATGAATAAAATAAGAAAAAGTGAAATAATAAACACATTTCTATTTATCCGTTTTACCCACTCGTAATAGAATTATTTTTATTTATTTTTTTTTTTTTAAATGAGGAAATTACATGGGAAGAAGAGAAAAAAGCTCTGCAAAAATAAATGTTATTAGGTCTGCAAGGGCAATCACTCAAAAGTTAGGAAATACCAGAAATAAGGTTGCCCACTTAACCCTAATCTAGTCCCTTTTTGTGTACACCTTATGAGCCAGTCTTCAGTTAGATTGATCACATACTATTTTTTCTATAGGGATCCTGCCTCATTCGGTGTGTAGTGCGGTCAATGCTCAGGGACTGAATCAGGGTTGTGTATTGATCGAGGCTGTTGTCTGTAGGTCCCTAACTTATTCACTTGGAAGGTGTAAAGCAGATTAAGCAGATGAGTGTAGGAAAAGAGTACGTGGTGTCATGGTTAAGGCTTCTGAATGACACGCAGGAGAACTGGCTGTTTTATTGACCTCTTATGTGATGCGAGCAAGTCACTTAACCAGACATTTTCAGAGGTGGCCACTAGTTGTATGTGATTTGTTTTCTGTGTGCTCAATGTGAGACACCTTTGCCTGACGTTCAGAAGTGCTGAGCGCTTACAACTACTGAAGTCAATGGAAGCTGTGGATGCTCAGCAGTAACACACCACTGTCTCCAGGAATGAGCACTGGGTTAGGAACCGGGAGGCCCTACATTCGAATCCTGGTTCTGTCATTGGCTCTTTACGTGGGTTTGGGCATGTCACTATTTCCCTCGCTATAAAATGAGGATTATAATACCTACCCACCTTCCTCACATAGGTAATGAGAATGGTTTAGTTAATGTATATACCGTGCTTTGAACATAAAAAGTGCTATTATCAAAAATAAGCAGTTGGAAGAATC